TCGGTTTGGAGGTAAAAACGAAGGCAACGACAACGATTTTGATGGAGATGGTGGTTGGAACAAAAAATGAAAAGGTCTTCCGGCTTCTTGGTGATTCGATTTTCTTTTTCTTTTTTCCTTTTCTGGTTAGTTGCAGGTCCAAACAAAGATGACGATGAATAGTGACTTCGGTTTTTAGCTCGGAAGAAAAGGGCTGCAATGAGGGATGGTAGGACAGCAGGTCTCCAGTTCGGATGGAACATGGAACAGAGCTGACAACAACTATTTTTTTGTTCTTTTATTTCCTTGGTTGCAAGTCTCAGAAGTGAGGCAGTCTGAGAGGGAGCTCGGCTGGACTGGAACCGACGAAGGTAGCAGGTTCTAGTTCGGAGGTGGTACGAGGATGGAAGCGAGCAGCAACTATTTGTTGGTTCCAAATCAAGCCACACAGGCCTTGTACAAATTATTACACAAGACACGGGTTGTTGTCTTTTTTTTTTCTTCTTCTAGTTTGATAAACAAGGTGATGCTATGTTGTTTTAAAGATGGGATAAGGTGGTGTTTAATGGCAATGGTTTATAAGGTTGTGGTTAACTGAAACACTCTTATGATTTTGCAAGTTATACAGAGACATAATCAGCCTGAGAAGCAAAGAAACAAAGGAACCAATGTGCAGTTCTTCCTACCTCAAGTATTGGTTCTCCTTTTTGAATTTATGTTTAATTGTGAGGATGCAAATTCAAGAATAAAAATACTTGGAGATCTGCTTGAATTGCTAGATTCAAATGTCTCTAACATTGCAAGTTACCTCTTTTTTACTGCAAATCTAAAGATAACTGATTTTTTTTTACATTATAGGAAAATGGATGGCAAGCATGGTTAGTTGCTTCCATGAAGCTTGATATCTTGAAAACTTGCAAAATGAAAACATAACGTGATGGTGACCCTGAATTAGTTGAGTAAAAGCATGTGAAGACCCTATTTTCTCTAGTTCTATGTCACTACATACAATCATCAAAAGATAGATGGGGACGATGAACAGTGACCTTACTTCTCCCTGAGTCTTCTTCTTTCAATTTATATGGTGGATGAACAGTGAATCTAAAGTTACCGGTAGCTTTGGCTTAGCCGGTCACAAAGCATGAAAACAATCAAAGTTAGAAAGTATAATGGTTAGTTCGAACAAATAAATTATATAGGGGTTTTTTTAAACATTGGGTTATAATACATGGGGTTTTTATGAGATTTTCCATATATATATATATATATATATATATATATATATATATATATATATATATATATATAATATATATATATATATATATATATATATATATATATATATATATATATATATATATATAGAAAAGTGAATATAAGGTTGTTATATACATAAGCTTAGATGTGGAACCAAAAAACTATGTAGTTTTGATATAAATCCTAACAAATTAGTATTGTGATTTCCTTTTTCCCCATTTTAATCTTTGATTTTATATATTATATATATATATATATATATATATAATATATATATTATATATATATATATATATATATAGAAAAGTGAATATAAGGTTGTTATATACCTAAGCTTAGAAATGGAACCAAAAAACTATGTAGTTTTGATATAAATCCTAACAAATTAGTATTGTGATTTCCTTTTTCCCCATTTTAATCTTTGATTATATTGTTCATTCTCCCTACCTTCAAAAAATTTTGCCGATAATTCTTCTGGAAATTCGTTGTTTTTTATCACTGTCTTCTTCTTTTCCTTATAAATTAGAAATCAAGTCTATTGTTTCCACAATTCAATTGCAAAAAAAATTGATTGTAACAGGGCACGTGTTAACATGCTATTTCAAACAAGACATGTATTATAAATTGAATTTAATATACACTAACCAATTTACCTTTACCGCATGTTATAGGATTTTCATTCGTGTGTGAATACGAGTTTCGTTTTTTGATGAATTACCTGCTAAACATATTTATTGTTGTTGGATTTTGCTTTGTAAGGATACGTTGATAGTAATAAAAAAAAATAAAAAATAAAAAATAAATAAATAAAAAATCGAACGACACTAGATGGATGATGAAATCCGATGATTACTATCATCTTGAGAAGTAAAGAATAATGATGATCACATTTTGTCAAATAAAAAAACGAATATCACAAGGAGACGAAGTCCAATTTTTATGATTTTTCAATCCATCTTATGAAAACTGGTTCAAGTCTTTAGTTTTACAAATTAGCTACAAATGCATGTAACAAACGTGGCTACAATAGTTACAGCAATTTAGATGCACAAATTGTTGACCAAAATCTTAGCGATATAATTAGGGTTCTCTTTCCTTTAAGCTTTTTCAAACAAAATAGAGTAATCAAGAAGATTAGCAACATTACCAGTGAATTAGGACAATTCCAAAATCGTCTTGTTGGGTTGTCATGTTTTTAGGTCTCATATTGTTTGGATGGATAAGGGCAGAAATGTGTAGGGTTGTCCCCTGTAGGTGAGGTTCTTGCTACAATTGGAAGGTATGTGTTCTTCTTGTTCATCATGGATCGACCATTCAATGAAGATGACATTGTCGAAAAAGAAAGAAATTCGATTGTAAGGTTTTGAGGAGCCTCGTTATGCATAAAAAGGGAAAGAAGCAATGGCAATGACCTAAATGAAAGCTTCAAGTTTCTACATTAATAAATATATTGACATGTTGGCATTGCATGTGGACAAGTGTAGTCCATGTCATTTAAACACGTCAATCTTGCAACCGAAAAAGGGTAGAATATGAGCTTGTGCCCTTATTTAAACAGTCAAATTATAGTTTAGGCACTTCAAATGCACAAAATTAATAGTATAGACCTTTTAAAACCATTTGTGAAAGTTGATTGAATTTTAATGCCATTAACATTTTCTTATATGCATCTTCAAATATTTAAAATATAATCTTTCAGCAAAAAGAACCCACATCACATGAATTTACAAGTTTCCTTGCATAAATACAAATCACTATATAACGATTTTTTTTTTTTCCTAACGTTGTCAATTTAGTTTGGATCAAAGCTCTCTTCCAACCACTTAACTTGAATACGCACACCAGCATCCCTAAGAGCATGCAAAGAAGATCTATAAAGCCTTGAATCCAAACTTGTTCCTTCAGCTTTCATATCCTGCAAAAGCTTCACCAATTCATCCACCCTACTCATTTTCGAAAACACACCTACCATAATCCCACCCATAGCCCTATCAATCCCACCACCATTAAGCCTATACTCATTGTAATACTTCATACACGTGTCAAACTCTCTTGCCTTACTATAAGCACTTATGACACTTGTATAACTTACCTTATCAGCCACAAGTCTCCTTCTTTTCATCTCCTTCCATATCTTCTCAACTTGCCTCAAGTTCAACACTTTCCCATGCATGTCAAGGAGAGAATTGTAAATCCACACGTTGAGTTCCACCCCACGTGCTTTCATGCGAGCTAACAGCCGCATGGCGTCTCGAATCCTGTTTTGTTTCCCATACATCGCAATCATGCTAGAATACGCCACAACACATTTATCGAACCCTTTGTTGTCCATTTCCCAAAACACCTCTTCGGCTTTTTCATAAAGCCCGATACGACAGTAAACGTTTAGGATAGAAGCATACGTCACTTGTCCAGCGTGGCAACCTTCTGCGGTCAACTCTTCGTAGACCTTTACCGCTGAAGTCAACCCTCTTTTCTTTGAGAACCCGTTTACGATAGCACAAAAGATACAATCTGAAACTTTAATGTTTGCTTTTTTCATTGAAGAAACAACGTCGAGTGTCTTTTCGAGTGACCCGAGTTCGATGTACATCAAAACGAGCTTTAAAAAGACTGCTGGGTCTCTTAACATGTTCTTCGCTTCGGCTTCTTTCGTAAGGTCTTCTACCATTTTCACTTCTTGAATGGCTACAAATGAACTGATTAATGTTGAGTAAAAAGAAGGGTCTTCTGGGAACCCTTTCTTGATCATGTCACGAAAGTAATCTAGGGCTTGAAATGGTTTTCCTGATTTTGCTAAAGATTCGATTAAAATCCTGTAGATTTGTGAGCAAAAAGGTGTCCATTCGAGATTGCTTGATTCGAATTCTTTAAACAAGGAAATGACTTTATCGTTCTTCCCCATTTTCAGATAAGCTTCCATGGTGCGTCCGTAACATTCCCCCGTCTAATTGCATACCAAAAGATTTCATAATATCGTACACGTTGACTGCACTACTATACATATGAAGCTTGTTATAGCTTCGCATGGCAGCATTAAAACTTAAAATGGCAACTTCTTTTTCAAATTTCAGAATATGAAGCAAATGATTAGCAAGTTTAAATCTCTTGGCTCGAATACAACTACTGATTAACCTACAACAGGATGAAGCACTTGGGTAGACCTTGAATTTCCCAAAATCATCGGAAATTGACCAAATTGAATTCCAATTCTTCAAACGCAGCGAGTACCTGATTAGATTATGCAATGTCGATCTCGTGGGTGTAAAATCGGGTGTTCTTTTGGCCTTCTGGTAACTCTCGAACCCTATTTCTTCAGTTTTTGGATCCTTCAACAGTTTGCATATCAATTGATTGAGATTCTCCTGATGGGGTACGGATGAATCTCCAAGATTTTCAACTTCCAGGTCCAATTTCGATGAGGGAGGAATCGGTGGACTCCTCATCGTCTAGTATTGGTGGTGGACAACTTGTGGATGAATTGAGGATCAAGATTCTTGAAGACGATGAGAAAGGGGGAGAGATGAAGAGAAGAATCGGGGAGTTTTTGGATGGATTGAAGGTGAGGTTTTTGTGGGTTCTTTTGATGCAATGAATGTAAGCTAAGGACCACTCTGAAGAAGTGGAAATGGCCATTGTTGATGAAGATAAGGCATGGAATGAATGGGGGAAGAACTGAGAAGTGAATTTCAGAGAGGGAAGTAGACATGATATGTTTGGATGATTTTGGGGGTGTGATTTTGTGAGTTGTATTCATGTGAGCCACACATATGTTACTTGTGTGAATATTGGCCATTTGGATAATATTTATTTTTTTAAAAGCAAGGCGACAATAGAGATGAAAAATATAATTATGATAACATGATAACCATAAAAATTAATTTGAACATTCGGTTGATAAAGATTAAAAGTCAGACTTAATATATTACCCTTATATATTGTTTTTGTTGAATTCAATGTGTTTTAGTTTAAATGCTTAGCTTAACTCATTGAGCCCATCAATTTTAAGGAAAAAAAAAAAACAACCCTAATTAGTCTTTTTCACGAGAAGAATATTATCAATTTAACCATTCCATTGCTGTATTTTCCACGAATAACCAACTTGTGAAATGAAATGATTACATAATATTAGAACTAAAGTTGATCTAATTTAGTATTAAAAAAAAAAAAAAACTACAACAAAGAACCTCAACAATTTAAGATGCCACAACTATAGTTCGATCAAAGATGTTGGCCAAAAAGCCACAACTTATAATTCCTTCAAATAGTACAAATCAAAATCTATAACAATACAAGAAAAAAGAAAAACAAGAGTCTTTATACGTATCCCCTTTTCTTCCACAAACTACAATCAAATCCATTCCAACCAAAACAAACCTCAAAACTCAGTTATTTTCCACAAGTTCTTTCTCTTCATACTCTTCATCAACAAATTCACCTTCATCCAAGTTATAATCTTCTTCACCATCAATCTGATCATACTCATAATCTCCATCTCCATGATCATCATAACCTTCAAGCTCCTCATCAAGCAATGCATCTTCATCCACCATCTCACCTTCATTCACTTCATCATTTGCATACGATTTCCCATCTTCTTCTGTTTGCTTTTCTGCTTCAAAATCATTCAAAACAATGTGTTCTTCTTCTTTTACAATCTCTTCTTTTTTATTCTTTTCTTCAATGATCACAGAAGAAATTCGGTTATCACTATCAGTCCTTCTTTTTCGCTTCAAAATCTCACTAAGAGGCTTTGGTCCTTCAAATGACAAATTATCCTCCACTTTTGGGTACTTTCTTTTTCCCAAAATTTCTCCATCTTCAAGAACTTCACTTGTTCTTCCACTTTTTAACTCTGATAATCTTTTTGGTCCAGCAAACTTTGTATCATTATCACCATTGTTATCCTTTATCCTGTCCCTAACCCTAGAGTTAAGAGACAAAGGTCTTCCAGGTGAGTATCTTGATTGATGCCTTCTTCCCATGTCAATTTCCCTTTCTACCCTCGAACTGTTTTCATTACTCGGAGACACCGACCTTCCCGGAATCTTGATTCTTCCTCTAAGCCGGCTACTCAGAGCACCACCCTGTTCCTGGCGGCGGTTGTGGTGGTGGTGGTCGTGGTGGTGGCTATCCCTCCTTGGCCTCCGGTCGAGGGTATTTTCGGAAACCCTTCGTTGGTTTGATATACGGTGGCGCAAATCTAAGTGATCAGGGCTATCACTTCTAGGATACGGTCTTCTTTCTTGATGAGCGGACCCCACCAACATCCTTCCGGAAGATTCTCTACTCTCATCCCATGCAAACTGTCCTTCACGTTCATTATAATGGTCAAAATCACGATGATCATGGTCAACATCATAATCTTGACCTCTTGATCTTACAAATTCATCATTTTCACGATAATATTCAGAATCTTCAACCTGATTGTCCACAAGAACATCAAAACCAGGGGAAGGATCTCTAGAATATTCATCAGCATCTTTCACATTCAAAACTCTCTCGTTTTCTGATACATAGTAACCATGGTTAACACTAGGGTTAGGGTTAGTAGGCAGGGTTTCACCCATAACAGGTGGCAGAACCACACGTTCTCTTTTATTACCACCGTTTCTGGCGGGAGGTGGTGGTTGTCTGCCTTTGAATTCCACCGGCTTTTGGGCGGTTTCCGGTGGTGTAAACTTCTGGTCCTGAATGGACATCTTAGGAGGGTCGGTGACCGGGTTAGCTGACCCGGGTTGTGCGGGTTTGTTATTGACTGAATTTGGTGGCCCGTGTAAGAAAGGGCATAAATGTCCTTTCAAGCAGAAACCCTTCTGGAAGAAGATACAGGCAACTCCTTGTTTGGGTGTAGGATAAGGAGCAGGATGTGGTGTTAGTGTAGGTAAAGAAGTTGGTGGTGCCACTGCCATGGGAGTTGAAACATCAGCAGCTCCCAGTAATCCATCAAGAGGCTGAAACGAATGAAGTGTGATTTAAGTATTTACAATAATAATAAGAAATTAATAATAAAGTTATATGATTATATTAGTATTGATGAAGAAAAAGAATGAAGATACTTACAGGATGACGAAAAGCACATTTTGGATTTAAGCAGTTCCCGTTTAACCAATACCAGCAATCCCTAGGGTTGACTCTTGCAATGTCACTATGGCGATACTCACACTCACTTCCCTGTAGAAAGAAAATACATATCACACTATCAACAGATGATAACAATAATGAAACAAGCAAGCATCAAACACGTCCTTGTTCTAAATGGGTTGTTATTTGTTAACGACTATCAATTGATGTGACAAATGCTTTTAGTTTGTACGAAAAGGTATGAACTTGATGCAAGGTAGTTAGTGATCAATCGTCATCCCATCGCAACTTTAAAGAGAAGACTCGAAACTTTAATTAGCTCGAAATCAAGATCCAACGCTAAAAAAAGAAGAATAAAATTCGAACCAGATAACGATAATTTCAAGATCCCCAAATTAGCATACCGAATTACAATAAATATAAATAAAGAAGATCTAATCCGATAGATGGAGCAAACAAAACCTCACAATTTAGCTAGCAATGATATGAATTGAAAAAAACAATAAAAATACCTTTTTGCAGGTTAAGGGAGAAGCAAGGAAGTAAACGCAATCGGTGTTTCTTTTCAAGAACTCGTCTTCCTCTGGTGAAGTTGTCGGAGCTGCCGATGATGATGACGATGACGGAGGAGCCAATTGAGGGGCTTGTTGTTGTTGTTGTTGATGGTGAGTAGTAGCGCCAACCATGGTTGGGGTTCTAATTGAAATTCAAATAAAAGAGAGGGGATCTTGGGTAATTTGAATAATTGGATCTAGGGTTTGCCAAGGCAGCGAGCTCAATCCGCTATTGCAGATATGGTTGTAACAAGAGTGGATCTAATCTTCCATCTGCAAAGAGAAACGGAAGGTTGAAAAGAGAGGAATGAAACCCTGAAAGGAGAAAGAAGAAACAGAGCTCTCAAGGATTTTAAGGCGATGAGAAAGGGAGAGTCTTGCTTCCTGCTCCTTTCCCTTCAATCTTCATTATATTTTTAGGGATGAGCTATTTGCTATTGGCTGAAGCCTTTGGTTAATCATCGAATTCCCTTGATTTTGTTAGAATTTATTATTTTAGGGTAAAACATATATATTTATGTAATAAAGTTATCTTGTTTTACAAAATCTATCATCTATCTTGTTATAAAAATGTTATATTAAAAGATCATTCATAATATAAGTTTTTTAATTTAAAAAAAAAAAAAAAAAAAAAAAAAAAAAAAAAAAAAAAAAAACCATAAAAAAAGTTTTTTCACTTAAATTTTTTCAACAAAGCTTGAAATTTTACGAGTTCGTTACGTTGGCTTTTTCAAATATTATAGACTTTATAGTGGATCTCGTAGATTTTTAAACAGTGATTAAATAGCCAACTTATACAATAAAATGATGTGAGTGATTCTTATAGATAAGTTGATGAAAAACTCATTTATTGTGGAGATTTTTGAGTTTTTTAAATTGATAGATTATGGATGGTATGAATCTATATAAGCTGCACTTATAAGTTACAACTAAAAAAAATATGATGCTACAACTCACATCACAAGCCATGAACCTATATATCCGAGAAATTTTAATTATAGCATCTTATTTTGTTAAAATGTTATATTTAAGCAATACACCGCCATTGGCATCCATCTTATCACTTTGCAGACATTTCATATACCAATTTATGCTACTTTAACATTGATTCATACCATGAACGCATCTAATTAATAACTTCATTCTCAACTTCTTTTGAAGTTTTTCCTACTAACATCGTTAAAATAAAATTGTTAAGTATGTGTCGTTGCCCTTGTTTTTGTAAGATCTATTCTATTTAGGATTTATTCCATAACATAGAGTCATCTATCCCAATTGTATTCTCAATCCCAATCTCACCGATAATGGATAGAAGCCCCATTCGTTGCCTTCTCCCTTTTCTTCTAATCACCTCACATCTCGCCTACAACCACCTCCGAAAGTCAACAAAAAATGAAAAAAGTTTACGTAAAAGTCAACTTTCGAAAACTAAAAAATCATAGTCAACATTGTTAACTAAAAAACACTTGGGGCACGATTGTAGGCAAGAAATGAATGAAATTCAATGGAAAATTATTCTAGTTCCCTCAAATTCATGCGTTTGATTGGATTTAGAGAAAGAAAAAAGATTTCTAAATGAAATAAAAATTCCATCATATGATAGAAAGTGGATTCTTTTCTATAGTTAGATGGAAAACATTCATTGTCATAAGGAAAATAATAGATTACAAAACTGTCTATTTTACTTATTAGAAAACCAACATTCACCACTATTGCTACCAACCGCCACTGCCACTACCACCTACCATCGTCGCCACCGGCCATTATTGTTACCACCGCCATTATTGCCGCCACCACCACCAACAACCACCATCGCCACCGCCACCTCCACCATTATCGTCGTCACTACTATCATTATCGTCACCCTCACCACCACTACCGCCATCACCCCCACCACTGCCACAACCACTGCCAAAATTTTATTGTTTTTATAATTATATAATGTATCTTTGCATATAAGTTAGAAAATAAAATAAAACTAAACTAAAATTAAAAAGTATAATTTTGTTATTTTACATGGATTTCAATTCCATTTTCTATCAAACAAACATCATCTAGAATTAATTAAAATTTCATTTCTTATCAACCAAATAGTATAAAATTAGATTCAAATTCCTAATCGACTCCTTTTTCAATTTCAATTCCAACTTCTTTTAGAAACATTTTGCAAACCAAAAACATGCCTCAACTATATCAATTCATTAACTAAAGAGCTAAACTCCAAAATTTTATACACTTAGTAATACTTTGTAACCAATACCCCATTTGAATACTAGTTTATTGAATTTAATAGAATTAATTCTCAATAATTAAGCCATTATTCGTTTATTTGTTTCTTTGTGGCTAGAGAGTTAAAATGACATTGATAGAAATATTTATCAGAGTATCCGGTATGGCCGCATGGGCACCGTACAATGTGTGTGGTGTTGGCTTAAAGTGTGCGGCGGCATGGAACACCACCCCCAAAGCTGCGATGGGTGATGATAGTAACAGTTTTTTACGTCCTCTCTCTCTCTCAAATTTTTATTAATTTTAAGAGTGGTTTGGGTTAATAGTGATAGGTAATTCCTTAGGTAAATTGTGGCAAAATGGTGTTGAGGTGATGCTTAGGTGACAACTTTTAGGATGATCGAGTGGTACCTATTCGCATAGCATCATCCTTTCATTTTGGAAGTACTGCTACTCCTGTGATTTTTTTCATTTCCAAATTCCAACATTCATCCGATATATGATATGTGAAAAAACAAAGCTTTTAAAAAACAATATATTTTACATTGCCTCTTAGAGGGAATAAATCCAAGACTTCATGTAAACCAAAAATTCAAAAACTGTCTTATAGTTGCCTTTTTTTTTTCTTTTCAATTTATATATTGTAATTTATATACGGTACTATTATATATGTACAATTCACTCAAAAAAATTATCAAATCATAGACATACATATATACATTCACCAACTCACAGAGTATAGGAAGCAATTAAAAGTAAATATAAAATTTGCCTTTACATATATTTCAATTATATATTTCAATTGTTTTTGTAATTTAATGTTCATGCATAAAACTTTTTCCACCCATGTTTGTCAATTATTCTCTAAAGAGGTACGACCACGCCTGTTGTCCTATGCTCCTTACTTTTTCAGTTCTGTTATATAAAAAGAAATACCCAAAAAAATCACACTTTTTTCAAAAGACTTAACCTTTTAGTAACCCAATAATCTAACGTTAATATTTTGCCTTGTATCCAACTTCAGGTTTTTAACATTTTTATCATTAAAAACTTGATTCACGCCTCATTTGATTTAATGTCATAAAAACATTCCATAATCTTTTAATGACATCTCTTTACTGATTCTCTCATCATTTACATTGAACACATACTTTCTTGACTTTCTCAGTTAAAAAGTCAAAATCTTTGTTTTCATCCAAATTCTAATATACAAAACCTCATTAAAACCTACTAAATCATACATCAAAAGTTTTAATTTTGTTTAACCTCTAGCATCAATTCTTTGTTTACTATCTATCCTTCAAAATACCTCTTATACATGATCTTGATTCACATTTCAATTTACTAACATATAAAGATAAAGAAACATGAATGGATTATACAACGTGGCATCTATATATAATAAGATCTTTGGATTACAACAAAACCATCAGACACAGAGTTTCCTAACAAAAGAATTTTTAACTTAAAACTTTAAAAGCAGCATCTATAACATGAGAATGAAGATGGTATTCGACCAGTTTTACGAATATACCCTGCTTGTTCTTCTGCTCTTGCAGCTTCCCTGTTTCTCTTAGCCTCTGCTGCAGCCCGTTTCTCTTCAGCTTTGTGTCTTGCAGCTGCTAATTTATTCATCAATCGATCATGTGCTCCACCTCTCATCCGCTCTACCTCTACCTGTAAGTAAAGGGTACTTTTGTCATTTTCTTGAAACAACAAAGAAATCAATAAAAAGGGTATTTTGGTCGTTTTAAAATATGATGTAATTCTTCGGATACATTTACAACCCAAACGAAAAGCTAAACCTTTCGAACGATATTTGCTCTTATTGTAAACAACTAAACATACTTTTCAACCAAGTTGACCAATTTACCCCTATAGATAAAACAAAAGGATTAAACTGTCGCATACCTCAATTCTCCTCATTTCAGCTTCGGTTTTTGCTTTTTGATGGTTTTCCCATGCCTCTATCTTTACCTCTTCACGTTTGAACCTAAACCCATAAATCATTCTGTTAAAAACATGCTACAAAGAAAGTTTGTGTGGTAAAAGACGTAAATACCCTCATCGTTACCTAGCCATATACTTGGCTTTCTCAGCATCTTCCCAAGCAGCTGCACGCATCTCAATTGCAGATTTACCTGATTTTTCAGATGCCAAAACTTTCAAAGAAGAAGATGCATCTTTATCTTCTTCTTCCTTGCTAGCCCAAGCAGCAATATTTGTCTTCCCCAACTGAGTTCCAAGAGCCTTTATCTCTCTTCTAGTTTTTATCTGCAACTCCTTTTCAGATAACTCTCTGTTACTACCACCTTCCAACCCTAGATTTGAAGGATTGGTGATTCTTTCTGGAGTAGCAGATCGTGAAGAACTTGGACTCCTACTAGGAGTCGTGGCCCTTACAGGTGTTCCTGTTCTTGATGGCTCTTGGCTAGCAATCGGAGTCATTTCAGTCCCCATGTCTCTCATTGATACGGATCTGGCTGTTGAAGGAGGAGGGACAAACGTTGTGTTCTGGATCGATACAGAAGAATCATGGCGACTTAAATTAACTGCTGCGGTGTCTTCAATCATGAGTACAGATTTGCTGCTGTATGAATCCATCTGTTTGGTGTCAGGCTCTTCGTAAGGGATTAATCTTTGATCGGGAACGGGAACGGGAACTTGAACTTGAACTGGAACTGGAACTGGAACTTCCACCACCACCTTCGTGATTGGTTGCCGGTTTCCATGGTTGACATGACTGTTTTTCTTTGAATCGTTTTTTGGACGGGTAGATGTAGGGCTAGCTATCCATTTCTGGGCGTCGTCCCATTTTGATGGTGGCGCTTTGGAGAATGGAGCTAGAGGCTTCTTTCTATGTGAGGAACGTTCGGATTTCTGAAACTCGAAGGGTGATAATGATACTGGTACAGATACATTTACCTTATCGATCCCGCTCTCGTAGTCCAAATCACCATCATGATCCTTCGATATGTCGTCGTTATCAGGTTCTGGTAACAATGTATCAGGCGTATGATCGGGAAGTACACTTACAACATCAACATCTTTGTAATTCTCTAAACAATCACCTAAATAAATTGCATATAAACCAAACAATAAATCACAAGTGTTCCAAGAAGTGAAATCTGATGAAATGTGAAATACCAGAGTCGTCAATCTCAGAAGCTTGAGATCCCAAAGAGAAAGTACTTGACTCGAGTTCATCTTCCCCTTGTTTCTTCTTTTTCTTCAACATATTCCTCAACTTCGCCGGAGACAGACCTCCTCCCCCACTTCCCTAAGAAAATAAATCGAA